TATGAAAATTATTTCGAAATGTGATATAGCAATTTTTTATGGCGTCCCAGAGTCGCCAATCGAGTGCACAATGTTAAAAGAATGGAATAACGTTCATACTTAGCAGATTGAATTTTTTTGCGGATTGAATGCATTTATGGTAAAAATTAACAGACGAAGTTTAATTTAGGGTGCGTCAGAAATTTATGCAGACGCTAAGCAATTTGGCCTTTACTCATACAGTAAAACCTCGATTATCCGAACAGCTCAAGAGACAAATGAATGTTTAGATAGTACGGTAGAGACTCTGTTATCCGAACATTCATTTTTTAAATATTCTGACATTCAAACGTTCCATTGCCCAATTATTGTATTATTTAATGTAAAAGAAACTGTTACGAAACTTTTATTTTCCAATAGAGTAGAGAAATTTTATATGCCGCATAGGAGTAACTAAAACAATTAAATGTACAACGAATCTGCGAACTAGTCATGGCAGTCAAAGATGTTCGAATAATAGAACGATTGCATGGTTCTATTGTTAGATTTCGTTGATTCCTGATTCGCTGAACGAATCTTGTTGTACGTTGCTCGCCTTAGACCGAATATTGTTTACCTATGAAACGTATCCCCATAAAAAAGAATTCGGATACCTGAGGTATCTGAACCACCACGCGTTTAATTTCTCGAATGGAAGGTGGACGTGAATGGAGGCAGGCAAGCCTGATCGTAGACGATTCCTAGACCTTAAAAGGTAACGTCGAGCCGAAAGTGTTTGGGTCGACGACCGCTTCATCGTCGGCAGCTGCACAGGTAACGCGAGATGGGGATCACAGGTAGATGCTCCGCTTTCCAATGGAAATTCGGAGGAATTCCTAGCGTGGATGCTTTCCGATGATATTCTAATTCCGCTGTCCTTGCGCAGCGCCGCTTCCAGCCGAGTAGACGAGAAATAAAATTAATGACGCGGCCCTTAATGAGACGTCTTCCTGAAAGCGTTCGGTCGGAATCGAGGATTTTCGGGGCATCGAGGATCGAAATTCTACGCGGCAATTTATTCGGGAATCGATTTCGGTTGCGGCGTAACACGCGAGATCCCTCTTCTACTCGTAAATAGTACCGGTGGGCGGTGTTGTCTTCGGAATTAAGAACGTGGATCGTTCGAGAGCCGGCCAGAGACGCGTCTCTCTGCCTTACTTTATTTCGCAGTTGTTGGCCGTTTTACGGCTCCGAGTCTCCACGAGCGTTAAACCCCCCCGAAAACCCTTTGATCTTTTATACTTGTTTCGTAGAATCGTGATTCGATGAGCCTAAGTGGGCGAACCGGGCCGGGGACGCGACGTGGACGCGTGTTGTTTCATATGGCGCGAGTGATAAACGCGCGCGATCTTGCCGTGGAGCTTTCTTTAATGGCCCCTCCTTACTGCCAGCCGAAATATTTCCGACTCGTTAAAAACGTACGAAAGCTCCGAATCGCGTCGGACTTCCAGAAAAACGGCCGTTAAAATTCTATTGTAATTTTTACTGCACGGAACGTTGAACGTCGAAGCAGCTCCACAGCTCGTGCCACTTATATCGACTTTACTCTTTACGTTATTAGACTGAGAACATTACGCAATTGTGGTAGGAATAATACAAGCGTAATCAATGAAGGCAGAGCAGCTTTCATCGTCTTCTAACTTGACCCAGACACAGATTGCTCCATGGAGACCTTCCTTTCCTGTTCGCCCACTGACGATTTCTTAGAGGTTTTGCACGCCCCTAACGCGAACTGTTCTAACAGGTAACGTGTTAATCATTTGCCGTACTTTGACGAATCTGAATCGCGATGGAGATTTCTTGTAACAATCAGGTAACTATAAATGTTACTCCATTCTTTTGAGTCACAATGAAATTCTGTTTATGCAAAGTAATAATTTTCATAGACGATTGCGAAGATAAGAAATTAAATAAAAATAAATTGTTTCTTTTAATCGTTATAACAAACTGAAAATAGTGTAACTATAGTATTAAATTCTTCTTATGCGCTCACAATTTTATATTTCAGCTACACACTTTTGTCATAAATGCATCAAATCCGCAGTCTAATTATTAGTATTTATGCATTCAGTAAATATAACCACGCGATAAATAATAATATTCTCTCCCTTCTCTGAAATTCTTACAATCGAAACAGTTCTAATCATTGTAACTTTGACGAAAATGATTCGGCAAGGGTTTAAGAATTCTAACGAGATGCAAACAACGCGACAATGTTCCCAAATTCTTCTGACTTATTCGTCCCTATTGCAAACATATAAAATCCATAATCCACTAACAACAAATTATTAGTTTATTAGTTGATCTACCAAATTAGCTAGGCTGCAAACTGAATCAAACATTTTAACACATTATCCACCGCGGCGATGATTTCATAATTTCTTAGAGTTTACAATTTACAGATAACATTTAACGAATTTCCAATGGAAATAACAATTTTAATCGTGAGCCAATATAAGAGATCCCCATGATAACAATTTCCTTCGAGATTATCATATAGAAAAACAATTCTGAGATCCCTCTTAGCTTAGCAAAATGATCGAAGATCCTATTAATAACGTTTCGATGGATAAAATATATCAGGATTATTCAGATCGCAAAGATACATTTATGAGCTATTTATTCGATACATGTGCTACCTGCGGCAAACATCGCAATAACACTCGCTACAAAATCAGAATAAATGTCTTATTGTCGCTTTCATCGATATAGAAAGCAGCTGCTTTTACTGCTCCGTAAATCTAGCGTTAAGAAAGAAACCTATTTGAGTTATGGGCTCCGAATGAACCTTTTAAAACGGCATTTCCTAGGACCCCGAAGAGGGATTCAACCGTCCCGGGACTATTCAGCCGGCTCATGCAAATGGGGCTAAATTGCGATCGTTCCGGGGAGGATTGATCGATCGGCTGGAAACGGTTGCGTCGCAATCGCCCTCGTCCGGCCGGACATTGTTCTACATCGAATAGCCGGCGAACAACAATAGAGAGTTTCGTCGAGCGACAAGGCGATTTTCCATGCCAAGGCGAACTGGACTGGCTCGCCGAAGACGGATTATGGTCCACGCGGGGACGCGTCTCATTGTGTTCCGTCCCGCGTCTCCTATATGGCGAAAACCACCTGTTTCGCAAAAGTCGGATGCCGATCGGCGTTTTCTGCATCCTCTCCCGTCGTCGGCGATGCTCGTCGCGTCTGCACGGCCGGCGATCGCGCGGCCCCGATAAAACAAAACAGGAATGTAAACATATTCAAATCGGAGCCAACCGTCCGATAAAACGCGTACGCTACGGGCGCGCGCAACGATGCTTTATTGAGGAAAACGTATCGCGACCGACGATCTCGTTATTGCGTGAACTATGGGGCGTTGCTTTACGGTTACCCACGCTGCGCTTTTATGATCGCGGCCCCGTGATCATAATCGAACTGTTTTAATTAAATGCTGGCGATATTAGAGGGATCGATTAGCGCAGTTTAGCGGGGCGGTATCTTTGAAAATGGCTCCCCGATCAGATAGCAATACCGATACTTTAAAGACTGGTTACGGTGCCCTTAATAGCTAAGTTTGTTTTAACGCGCGGTAATCTAATTTGGTCGGTTTTGTTTGAAACTTGTGAGAGTTTTGAAAGGATGCTATGTTAAATAATAAAGAATAATCGATTTCTAATCAACCACTGTGTAGTTTATCTACTCATTTTCATCTTAATTACTGTGTTCTTAATAGGTAAGTTTATTTTACCGCGCCTGGTAATTTAATTTGATCGGTTTCATAGAAATTTGTGAGAGTTTTGAAAGAATGCTATGTTAAATAATGAAGAATAATCGATTTCTAATCAATCACTGTGCAGTTTATCCACTCATTTTCGTCTTAATTACTGTATTATTAATAGTAAGTTTATTTTACCGCGCCTGGTAATTTAATTTGATCGGTTTCATAGAAATTTGTGAGAGTTTTGAAAGAATGCTATGTTAAATAATGAAGAATAATCGATTTCTAATCAATCACTGTGCAGTTTATCCACTCATTTTCGTCTTAATTACTGTATTATTAATAGTAAGTTTATTTTACCGCGCCTGGTAATTTAATTTGATCGGTTTCATAGAAATTTGTGAGAGTTTTGAAAGAATGCTATGTTAAATAATGAAGAATAATCGATTTCTAATCAATCACTGTGCAGTTTATCTACTTATTTTCGTCTTAATTACTGTATTCATAATAGTAAGTTTATTTTACCGCGCCTGATAATTTAATTTGATCGGTTTCGTAGAAACTTGTGAGAGTTTTGAAAGAACGCAATGTTAAATAATAAAGAATAATCGATTTGTAATCAATCACTGTGCAGTGTAGCCACTCATTTTCGTCTTAATTACTGTACTCTTAACAGGTAAGTTTATTTTACCGCGCGTGATAATCTAATTTGATCGATTTGATAGAAATTTGTGAGAGTTTTGAAAGAACGCAATGTTAAATAATAAAGAATAATCGATTTCTAATCAATTACTGTGCAGTTTATCCACTCATTCTCGTCTTGATTACTGTACATCTAATAGATATGTTTATTTTGCCGCGCGTGGTAATCTAATTTGATCGGTTTCGTAGAAACTTGCGAGAGTTTTGAAAGAACGCAATGTTAAATGATGAAGAATAATCGAGTTCTAATCAATCACTGTGCAGTTAATATCGCTTGGTAGCGTAATATCTTATTTTTCATTCATTAAAACCATTCACGAGCAAGATTAGAGATTCATTAAGATTCATTAAGCTTCAACTTCTTCAAACGCAATTTCTCGTCGTGTTTAACGTGAAAACGTAATCCTGCACAGAGTCTTGCGATGTAATTGTAAGCAACTATGGTACAATCTCGCATTTCTCTACGTAGATTCAATGACACTGGAAAATTGAAAAGAAGACAAGATTTAGACTGACATCGATTCGAAGTATTAGGACACTTAGTAAGAGATTTTGTGGAAATGGACAGGGGACTTACCATCGGTAGTAAACAGCAGACATGATTTAGAAGACAGAGCAGTAGATACAGCGGCTGAAACGGAAAAGAAGAGAAGAATAGAGGAAAGTGTAACAGCCACTACCACAGAATTAGAACAGCGGTTGGAAAAATGTGTAAACAGAGAAAGCGGACTATGAACTGTGCAGAATGAGAAGTAAAAGGAAAGCAGATTAATTGAGCGCACAGAGTTAAGTTCAAGATATTGGGTTGGCAACTAAGTAATTGCCGATTTCATTTATAGATGTCTCTCACTCCCATTTTTATGATATCCGTAAATGTTATATTATAAAATTATTATTATTATTATTATTATTATTATTATTATTATTATTATTATTATTATTATTATTATTATTATTATTATTATTATTATTATTATTATTATTATTATTATTATTATTATTATTATTATTATTATTATTATTATTATTATTATTATTATTATTATTATTATTATTATTATTATTATTATTATTATTATTATTATTATTATTATTATTATTATTATTATTATTATTATTATTATTATTATTATTATTATTATTATTATTATTATTATTATTATTATTATTATTATTATTATTATTATTATTATTATTATTATTATTATTATTATTATTATTATTATTATTATTATTATTATTATTATTATTATTATTATTATTATTATTATTATTATTATTATTATTATTATTATTATTATTATTATTATTATTATTATTATTATTATTATTATTATTATTATTATTATTATTATTATTATTATTATTATTATTATTATTATTATTATTATTATTATTATTATTATTATTATTATTATTATTATTATTATTATTATTATTATTATTATTATTATTATTATTATTATTATTATTATTATTATTATTATTATTATTATTATTATTATTATTATTATTATTATTATTATTATTATTATTATTATTATTATTATTATTATTATTATTATTATTATTATTATTATTATTATTATTATTATTATTATTATTATTATTATTATTATTATTATTATTATTATTATTATTATTATTATTATTATTATTATTATTATTATTATTATTATTATTATTATTATTATTATTATTATTATTATTATTATTATTATTATTATTATTATTATTATTATTANATCGTAAAGGTGTCATTTTCCAGCAGGACAATGCTAGGCCGCACACGTATTTGTCCACTCGGCAAAAATTGATGGACATTGGATGGGAATTGATGTTACACCCACCATATAGCCCTGATCTCGCACCATCGGATTACCACTTATTTCGATCCCTGGACAACTCCCTTCGTGGTAAAACTTTTAACGACGATGACGCTGTAAAATCTCACTTAACTCGGTTTTTGGCCGAAAAGGATCAGACTTTCTACGAGCGTGGAATTTTCAAGTTGTCAGAGAGATGGCAAAAGGTCATCGAACAAAATGGAAAATACATTACAGACTAAACTTCGTTCCAAGCAAAAAAAATTTTTTATTTCATTGAACATATCGGCAATCACTTAGTTGCCAACCCAATAGTTCTATAGTCGAGTTCCATAGTCATAGTTCAGAGACTGAAATTCCTTGATCCAGAGACTAAAATAATTCTATCGATCCGTCTGTATGTCCCAGACATCGAGACATGGTTCCCAACGGCCAATGTCCATCGACGATCACAGGGATTGTGAAACGTTGGCAGCGACGTGTTCCAATGACTTGCAGGAAACGTACGGGGTGTTAAGTAGTCCTTACGGCGAGAAGAGCGTTCATGGCGATACATAATGAGGCGGGGAAAGTAGTCGGGGTGGATTTTTCGAAGCGACTTGCATGACGTTCCGAAAAACGACCGTCGAAAGGTGGATAACGCCTAGCATTGTGCCGGTAACATTGTATTTGATCTACGTATTTGCATATACCGCGGGTATTACGCAACCCGTGTTAGCGTGCCTAAACTCGGCACCGTGTTTGCTCTTCCGAATTATGTGGTACGCGAGAAAAAGGATTTTCAAGAATCTTCGTCCTTCGTCTACGCAACTGAACCTGTTCCCTGCCGTCGAAACCGATCCCAGCGACTTTCCAAAAGACAAATCTCGAGCCGAGACAATTTTGTGAAAATCGTCCTATTCCGAGGAGTGTTCGAATGTTCACTCTTTGTTCGAACGCTCGTGTGAATTATCATTTATCGCGAATCCATTTAACTATCGATACAAAGTCTAAGCCAGCACTCTACAGTTCCGCGTGTCTACGAAGTCACGTACAGAATTGTCATTAGACTGCAAATCTTATGCATTTATGAGAGAATTGAATGGATGCAATTCAAAATAGTAGAGAGATTAATCGAATTTTAAAATGTTCTGTAATAGTTTCGATCTGTTAAAATGAGTGAAGAAAGAACGAACTTCTTGTAACTGAGAGAGAGAGAGAGAGAGAGAGAGAGAGAGAGAGAATTTCATTTTCAGCAACAATGCGACAAAAATATCTGTTCTGTTGCTTTTCGTAGATAATAATATTTATTTGATCAACGAGGGAAAAATCTCTCCTTCGCAATAACTTGACAATATGTCGCACAAGTGGCATATGAAAAAAGAAAAAGAAAAGGAGCGATGAGAAGAAAAATACAACGATACGATAGAAAAGAAAAGAAGTGATCGGGATAACTAAATAAAGTGAATAAATTGAGAAAATAATCGAAAATAATACGGTAAGAGGCGAAGTTCGGGAAGAAAGGTAGAAGCATGTTTAAAAAAGCGGCAAGATGCAGGGAAATAAAATTTTGCCAAAATACAGGACAGTTGACACGACAATCGACGATTTTGCGGATAAACACAAAGTTCGTATAATAATATTAATAATTTTGTATTCGCATAAAGACCCGCGGGGACAGTAACAGCACGAAACCGTGAATCGCATAAATCGCGAGAAATCAGCAGCCGGGAACGCAGTACCGTCAATCACAGTGATCAAGAGGAACGACAGCAGCCGAGATAAAACAACGAAAACAATGAGGGAAACGGTATCGCCATCCCGTTTCGCTGTTGACTGCCGGGTGCCATTTCCGGGGAGCGTGGACCTCAGGCATGTCCGAGCCATAGGCCGTGAATTACGAGACACTCGACTCCGGGCTTGGCGAAAAAAGCGTGAAGGAGTCAATTAGCATACGTCGCGGACGTATCAGCGGCCCCGGCTGGGCTTGTACAAGGAGCGTCAATATTCCCGGGTGGCTCGGACAGAAACGTGTCAGATTTGTATGCAAATTGCTAGACGCGGAATGAATATACCGTGCTTTAAAGGATTTCATTTTGAGCGTTTACGAGTGAAGACGCGAGCGGGCCGCTCGAAGCCGGCGCCGCTCCGCTCCGCGCGGCAAGCGTAACTCAACGGCGATCGTTGAAGAGCACGCGAGAAACAAGCGAAGAAGATTTACGACAAGGGAAATATACCTTCCCATCCTGTCTGCGAGCGCATTCCGGGCCAGAAGAATGAGGGAGGGGTGCAACTCGCGTTACAAGGGCTGTAAACTCTGCTCTCCTTTGTGACGCAGCGCGTAAAGGGTTTAACCCCTCCGGGGGCCGTTCGCGAGGCGAAAACCGTCGGAGACACGCGCTTCCTTGGTAACATTTCGCCGGCCCTTTTCATTCCACGGCAGACTGTCTCGCATGAAAATGAATTTCGTTCGCGAGAGACACTACGATGACGCATTCAGTCATCGTTTCCGCTGCTAACGTTCCGTCATTACGCTTTGCGATCTCCGTTTCCGAAGGTAAACGCGGTACCGTTTCCGCGGCGAAAAACGAGGACCGCGCCGAGGGATCTCCGCCACGGGGAATTCGTAGGAATCGTTTGTGTCGGCTCGACCGTGTCGCGTGCACCCTGGGAATTTTAATTGAAAGCCAAGAAAAATCCTCGGCGACCCACCCGTTGCCGCTTGGGAAATTCCGGATCGCGGACGGAGGAAATCTGGCTCCTCGTGGATCCCGGCTCGACGTTTTGTTCGTTATCCTATTATCTGAACGCTTCCTTCGGTTCTGTCTGGTCTCGAAAATGTCGCGGATTTTTAATGAAACTTTCGAGTACAATCGACGCGGCACACGCGGATTCGCAGAATTGCGCGGAACGATAATTGCATGTATTTAATTTGTAAAAAGAAATGAATCGCAGAGGAAGTTTGAGGATGGCGGTCTAATCGGCAGTGACGATTTCGTTGCGATGGCATTCTGTTCAAGGTTCTAACTTTTAATTACTATTGTCGGTCTGCGAGACCGTTACTAATTAATTATTCATCTGTTGTGATAATACAATTCTAAGAAAAAATTGTAGAAAAAGAAACGTTTTTCATGCACTTGCCTTTGTGCAATCGAACTTGGACCCCTTCGTTATTCATGCGCGAAGTAAAAACAATTGATGTTGACTTTTTATTTACCTGTTTTATGTCAATAATAACGCAATCAACATTAGCGATCCGCGAGATCGCTGATAGTTGTTACGCGAGTTTCAACCGCTTGCACTACGATTTCTTTCACAACTGTGCGTCGATTAGCACTTCTTCGTCCTCAATTATTTCCTTCAACGAACATTTCATTCATTTGTTACATCATATTTTATTTAGTTCCATTCCGAGACTTTCATGATACAGGGATCGAATTTTGTTTCGACTTAAAACGAACGAATAACATTAATATTTAGTAGATCATGTGTGAAATGTTCATCGCGAATGTCTGACTCGATGTTACAGTGCAAAGGGTTAATAGGAGCTAATAGCTAATAAGCTAAGAGAAATTCTAAGAAACTTAAGGGTGAGAGAGAAAAGAGCACATATTAAGCATCAATTGAAGAGATTGATGCAATATCAAGAGATTTGATGCAAAATAGAAAATTCCTAAGTCGATCGTCGAAGCAGGAGTCGAAAATTCTTAATAATATCAAGCGAAAAAACGTGAGTTTTTTCATTTCTTTTCTCACTCCAAGTGGTAGCAAAATAAAAACATATTATTTAAATTATTGTACAGTAAACTAATCCATCCGGCATGTC